TTTTCAGATATGTGTTAGACTATTCACCCCCAAACCTGGAAAATCATATTAATAAGTAATATTATTTATATTATATTCATGTGTGATATGCACACTGTAGTCTATGAGGATTTAGTACATTGGTATTGATAATCAAATAATAGTTATTGCTTTAAATTTAAAATAATTTATTTAAATATCCTTATGATTATCTTAATTTTGAAGTCATCATTTAGAATAATGTACTATTAAAGAAGACAGATCAGTAAGGACAAAGGAAAAATAAAGAAAAGAAAAGGTGGAAGACAAATAGCAGTGGTTCACAATTGTAATTCTAGTTACAAAAATGGCTGAAGGTTTGAGGGTATGGCAGATTTCAGTTCAAAGCAATCCTAGGCCAAAATATCAGAAAAAATGGTGGAGGGCTTAGAGATGTGGATCAAGCTTGTTGTAGGCCAGCTGCAAGCAAGAAATGGGAATGTGAAGCTCATGGTAATTGCACAAAAAGGAAAGCTGAAAGAGAGCATGTGCAATAAATATCTTCCCTACAAATTGTCCTAAAGATGTGTAGAACTAGGGAAAAAACAGAAAATGATCCTCAGATTAAATCATATCTTAAATTATTGAATTGCCTTTGTCAAAAACCTTTTATTGATCATCAAAAAGATTCTTTTTTTATTGTGAAAATAACATACAGAGGGGTTACAATGACCTTTTTTGGTCGATCATGGGGCTTGAACTCTGGGCTTGGGGGCGATCCCGGTGCTCTTCAGCTCAAGGCGAGCACTCTAACACTTGAGCCATAGCGCCACCTCTGGTTTTCTAGTGTTTTATTGGAGATAAGTCTCAAGGACTTTTCTGCCCGGGCTGGCTTTTAACTGCGATCCTCAGATCACAGCCTCCTGAGTAGCTAGGATTACAGGCGTGAGCCTCTGGCACCTGGATGGATCATCAAAATTTAATAGTAAAACTATTAAAACTATTAAACTATTAAAACTAATAGTAGTTTTTCTGTGAAGGTCTGCTTAAGCAAGTAACCAAGTATCTTGATTTTAAAATTGAAATAATATATAACAAGAAAATTGTACGGATTATTCTGTGTTAAGAGTATTCAATTTCAGTTAAATCATTGGGAGTGACAAAAGCTATGCAGGACACAGTCATGGGACCTGAGGACTTGTAGATGGTGAAATGTCATGATCAAAAGCTTCAGGCAAAAATTCACTTTCAGCATAGCATAAACCAGCTTCGTGGCTGCTGCAGGAAAATGCACAAGTTGATTTGGAAACAACATTTAAATCAGAAAGAATCTGAAAATGCCCACGTAAGATGTTAAAATTTCATATCACAAAAATAATGTTTTAGCTGGGCGCCAGTGGCTCATGCCTATAATCCTAGCTACGCAGGAGGCTGAGATCTGAGGATCACTATTCAAAGCCAGCCCAGGAAGGAAAAGTCTATGAGACTCTTATCTGCAATAAACCACCAGAAAACTAGAAGTGGTGCTGTGGCTCAAGTGGTAGTGTGCCTGCCTTGAGTTGAAGAGCTGAGGGACAGAACTCAGGCCCAGGATTCAAACCCCATGACCGACAAAAGAAAAGAAAAAAAATGGGTTTTTAGTTGAATATTCATATGTCAAAATTAAAATTTTGGTGAAAATTGATATAGTAATACTGCTTAAAGTATTTAGAAGAAAGGATGGTATGAAAGCATCAGAAAAAGCAGGGAAGGAGTTAACTATGGAATTATTGGAGGAATAAAAGTGAGATTTAAAAAGATCTCTGTGAATTTGAAAGATCAAAGATACAATATCTCACATCGAGTATACACCTTCAGTAAGTAATCAGAGAAGAAGGCGGTGTTCAAGATGACTCTGTTTCTAGCTTGTACAAATTGGAGGAAAATAATGGCATTTATATAAACATGTGGGTGTGATGTTTGTCAATGACATAAACTGAAATGCCAAGATACATCTTCATAAAACTACTGATTATTTCCTGGAAACAGTGTCTCTGCTTATCTAGAGCTGAGGTTGGCAGCTCCTTGGTAAGAAAAACAGGCAAATTAGAAAAATGTAGGGAGCAAGTGTGAACCGGAAGTTTTTTTATATTTCAGTATCATTATTATGATGTTGAAACAGAATTGTTTTCTTTAAAATTTTAAAATGATACTGAACAAATATAAAAGTATTTCTCCTCTTGATTTCATGACACATATTTATTGGAACCTCATACTATGTATTCATGAGAGATATTCCAAATGGAAAATTCTCTAAGTAACAATATCTGTTGAGAATTTCAAAAAAACTAAAACCACAAGTAAACTCTGAAGATGATATTTATATTTAGTCTTAAATTGGGAGGAGACTTACCAGAGATTTAAATATTAAGAAGCAATTATGAGGCAAGTGGGAAGGAGGGAGAGATAGTTTGGTGGAAAAAAATGTCCTTACATGGGGAAATGCATACAGTTTGATAGGAATTGTCCAGGTTTATTCATTCCTCTATCTTCAGCCTGTCTTAATATATATATATATATATATATATATATATATAAATGTTGCATATATATATAAATGTTGCATATATATATATGCAACATTTATATATGAATACATAAATACTCTGTATGTGCAATATTCTCAATATACTTTTTATCTCCCCTGCCACTATCTTTGTTGACAGGATAGAATTCATTTTATGAATATGTCCCATCATCATTATCCTTATCATCATCACCATCATTTTAGATCTAGTTTCTAAAAATGAGTAAGAACATACGATAGTTGAAATTTTGATCTTGGCTTATCTGGCTCAGCATGGTGATATCCAATATCACCCATTTACCTGTTAATTATATAAATTCACTTGTCTTTGTCCAGCTCTCAATCAAAATTATACTTTATGTCACTCTTGGTTGTTTCCCCAAATATAACTGGCCTATTTAAGAAAAATATAATAGATACTAATAACTGTAAATGAGATAAAAATGAATATAACATGTTCTTCAGTTCTTATAACTTCTAACTCAGGAAATATCCGTAGACAAAAGATGATGAAGCAAAATCTCAGAAATATTAAAACAGATCACCTACGTCGTCCCATGGCTCACGCCTGTTATCTTAGCTACTCAGGAACCTGAGATCCAAGGCTCGCTATTCAAAGCCAGCCCAGACAGGAAAGTCCGTGAGACTCTTATCTCCAATTAAACACCAGAAAACCAGAAGTGGCACTGTGGCACTCAAGTGGTAGGGTGCTAGCCTTGAGTTGAAGAGTTGAGAGAAAGCACCCAGTCCCAGGATTCAAGCCCCACCACTGACCAAGAAAAAAAAAAACTCAACAAAGGCTACCAAGGTCAAAATTAATTTATGAAATTTATTAATGATCTTAAATGATCTGTGTCCATGCATGGGCAAGTTTTTTTTTCTAGTTTGGGGGGGACAACCTTATCTGGAACTTTGATGAATGATCAAATATTGAGATCAAGTGAATAAAATTACAAATGTATGAAAGGTCAATAAGTATCTGAAATCCCTAAAGAAAGAAATCATCTATGAAATAGCGGATTTTGATTCTTCTTTTCAAGTTGACTTTTCTTTTTTCCTTACTTCTTCCTAGAATATTTTGGCATTTCATATCTTATACATCCAATAACTAACTTGAAGATGTCTGCAATTAGTCTTCTGTTATACACTTCAGAAATTGAATATCCACCATACAGCAAGTTAATAGCTGAAGAGAAATTTAATTGCAGTCCTGTCTGTGATTTAAGTTCATTTCTTTGCAGCATAAATGGTCATTTATAGCCTTTATTTCACCAGACCACAAAATTCTAACATTTTTATCATCTCTCCTACTTGTCCTATGAGATTTTTATATTCAGCAAATATGTATTGATTTCCTATTATGGGGTAGTTATTCTGCTAAATTCTGGGAAAGAGTGATAAATAAGATATAGCACCTGTCTTTGTAGAACTTGGAATTGTAAGATTCAAATCCTTACACAACTAGTGAATATTTAGAGTTTAAATAGCTTCTCTTGAATAAGACATTGCCTGATTCTCAGACTATTCTGAACTAAGTATAGAGTTAATCATGTACTTCATAATTGGACTTAGAAGCCAGGCACCTGTGGTTCACACCTGTAATCTTAGCTACACAGAAGGTAGAGACTTGAGGATTACAGTTCAAAGCCAATCAGGACAGAAAATCCATGTGACACTTATCTCCAAAAAACAACTCAAAAAAGCTAGAATTTGAGCTGTGGCTTAAGTGGTAGAATGATGTCTTGGTGAAAAGAAGCTCAGGGATAGTGTCCAGGCTTTGACTTCAAGACCAGGGCCATCCAAAAAAAGGGGGGGGAGGCTTAGGGGCATTTTATCTTTTTTTTTTTCAGATAAATAGTGAGATCCATTAGTGCATATTTGTTACATACTGCTAGGAATATTTATTGCTGGCAGGAGTTAAAAGGACAAGGATAGATACAGATACTGATATAGATTCAGGGATATAGATTTGATATATAGCATCTGTAAAAGTGGATAAAATCAGTGAACAGAGTTTCATGCAAAAGGAAACAAAAATAGGAAAAACAGTGATACAGGAACAGCAAGGCAAACTGTGGAGAATAGGAAATGTAGACACCTCTAGTACATTCTCAATTTTGTTTTGTCTACTGACAATGCATTGTAAGAATTCAGTCAAAGGACTAGAGAAGAGGATGAGAAAGAAAAGACATTTCAAGACATAAAGAATACTGTTTACATCTTCACTTTATCTAAATCATAAATAAGGCTTTACTTCTGCTATTGTAAATGCTACTCCTCTCAAACTTGGAAAAATAATTGAGCCATGTGTTTGCTCTGCATTCTAAAAACTGAATTCATGACTTTTCTGCTGTTTTGCATTAGATTAGCGCAGTGTTTGGGAAATATTCAAATGATATAGATGCATACCCATCCAAGTGAACTGTGCATTCTCTGACTAAAGGAATCTGATGACATGTAACCTTATTTTCCACAGATTAACATTGACTTCAGTACCAGAGACCTTATCTCAAAGAATATCGCTGAACCTACTATCAAATGTTTTGATGAGGCTCAGAAGTTAATCTATAGTCTCATGGCCAAAGATTCTTTCCCTCGATTTCTGAAGTCAGAGATTTACAAGAAACTGGTGACAAGCCAACAGGTTGGAAGTCATAAAAGGTGGCTCCCTTTCTTGTGAGAAAGACAAAAAATAAAACAAGAAAGGCAAAAGAGAAACTAAGCACTACACATCAAGGATAAAATGCTTTAAATACACAAACACAATACAAGCTTTTGGAAGGATTTATAAGTCACTTTTTATTTGAACAGAATTTTTCTATATAATCACATCTGAAATTGTACATCACTTGTTTGGAACTTATTCATTTTATCAGATACTTAAGAATCCACTGTGAGAATAGAATGTTTATGGAGATAAATACACTGTTGACCAGAGTGGGTATTCTTATGATTTTATAAATTCAAGAATCTATCTTTATTGTGGAGTGGGAGGCTTTTTAGGATCTGTACAAGATTTCAAATATCATTTGCATTATTCAAAAGCTTTACTTCTCAAAAGAGAGAAAGTCTGAAACAAAATACATCCTTCTGTCTAGTATATTCAATTCTTTTTCTTCAACTATTTCTTTTTAAATAGGTCTTTTAGTGTGGTGGTTATCCAATGTACTATAGCTCTAAAAATAATTAAAATGACATTTTACAAGAATATATGCACATTTTTATGTATGCAAGAAAATAAAATTGTAAAACATACTACTGGTTCAATTTAGTGACACCACATGAACTTACATATGGAAAGGGACTTGAGGTTGGGGATTATTTATTTTCTTATATTAATAGCAATATAAAACAATGAAATCAGATAGAGCACCAAAAATTCTTAAATGGTAAACAGCATGGCAGTTTATGTTCCATAAAATAAAAGAAAATCCAACATTATCCAATTGAGAGTTAAGACTATATTTACTCATTTAGCATTAAAATGCTTTCATAAAACTAAAGTGTTTTAAAAATTATATCTAGATTTTCTAAAATTGTTTTAGCATATGGGATTATCATGCATACATTTTATTGATATGAAAAAATATATTCAATTCATCTATGATTGTATTTTAAACCCTTTCACACAGCTTTTTTAAATGATCATTACTCTTTCCACTTTGAGATTAAACATAAAAAACTGATGGAAAATTGCACATCTTATTTTGTCTCCAAAAACTATCTATTTGATAGACAAAAAATGTTCTCCTCCTCATCATGAAAAACAAACATTTACGTGCATGCAAATAGAATGCTCCCTGTAGATTTGCAAATTCTTTAAAGTACAACACACTAGAAACTGGTGGGAAGGACTCAGAATGAATTTAAAATAGAAAGTTTGCAGTATTTACTCTGGAGGCCCCAATTTTTGTCTGCATTTCAATGGGAATTTTATTTTTATTATAATAAGTCAACCTTTGAGGATAGGAGGAATCCTAGAAATTAAAATCACATTCCTCTTTTTAAAAATGAAGTTACTTCTCAGATCACGCATCTGTGTTTGTCCCACACTGCCTCACCAGCACCTTTTCCCCATTTGTTTTGAAATACAAGTAGTCTCATGCCCAGCTGAGAATTGTGCTGAAGTGTAAGAATCTAAATTCCTACCCCGGCATGTTGCCTTTGTATATTTTTAATTTTCGTTCAGTAGGCAGCTTGCAAATTCTTTTGTGTTATCACAGAAAACTCTTCCTGCTTAATGATAGGCTCCTAAGCCTTCCCTAATGATGTGAAGAAAGCCATAAATCTTGTGTTTGCCGTCCAGAACTGTAGATGCTTAAGAGTGCCTACTATTACAGCAGCTGACAGAATGTTTGGTTGAAAACGGGCTGTTAAATTGACCTAAAAAAATCCCAACCAATGACCTTCATTATCAATATCTTCTTCCCATTCCTCAACTTACTACCCATCATGAAACATGATTCAAAGTTAACAATTTAATAACTAGAAAAATAAAACTATTGCAGGATTGTGGAAATTAAGTATTTTCAGTAAAATATGCAATGTGATTATGTTTGTGTCTTTCTTATTCTTCATGTTAGTTTATGTTACTAATTATAATGGGTGATATTATACACAGATTTTAAATAAACAAGATCAACTTTCAATAAAAGAAGTTGAATTTTGATATCCTTAATAATGAATTTTAGTAAACAGTAATTCTGCTGTCATTTAAAAAATCTTTCCAATGGCTCTATGAAATGTTTACATTAAAAATTAAGTGAGCAGTAAAATATAAAAGGTTTATTTCCCTATGAACAGTGTTTTCTATTTTCCTGATAATTCTTACAACGTAGATTTTAAGGCAGTTTATCTTTGCCATAATAAACGATAAAAAAATGTTCTATTGATATATTTCCTAAAATAATTTTATCTCATCTAAAAATTCATTAAAGTATGAGAAACTCACGAACTCATTAAAATCTTTACATTTATTTATATGTCACATATTAATTAATCAATAATGTTTCTTTTAAATTTATACAAATATAGTCTGGGATATAGACCAGGAAAATCATCTATTTTAGCCTCATGACATAATTAACAGACTTTTTCTAGTACTGATTATATAACACCAGGAACTTTAGAGCATTAAAAACGTTGCCCAATCTCAAACTGTATCTTGCCTAACTTTTATGTTTTTAAGATACTATATGGAGAGTATATTCTGCTCACACATTTTACTGGCTTCAGTGACTTCACAATATTTGTAAGTTTGTGTGCTGTGGGAAATGTTGTCCCCATAATATCCCTGATAAGAGTGTGTGTTGATTTAATAAAAGCAAAGAAAAAAAAGTTTCCTGTTTCCTATCCAATAGTCCTTTTTTTAATTTATTTTTTCTAAAGATGATGTTCAGAGGGATTACAGTCATATGAGTAATGCAATGAGTACATTTCTTATTGAACAGTGTTACTCCCTACTTTGATTTTCTCCTACTCTCCCTCCCATACTCATGAGCCGCCCCCTCCCCAAGTTGTAAAGTTCATTTCCAACATAATGCCTTGTGAGCATCATTTTTGCAATGGGTCATCCTGTATCCTTGTTTCAGTGTTTTGTTATTCCCCGTCCTTTCCCCAGTTTAGATAAATGTATATTCAAGATGCAGGGTACCCAAATCAAATACAATGATAACAGGGGATATACCATAAGGGGAAGAACATAGAAAAGAAACAAAGGAAGAGACAACAATGCTTGATAAGAAATGTACTCATTACTTTGCCCATGTAATCGTAACCCCTCTGTATGGTATTTTCACAATAAAAACAAGAAAAAGAAAAAAAAAGGAAAATATAGAAATACAGAAAAGAAAAAAGAAAGAAAAAAATCACATAGTACATTTAAAACAACAACAGAGAGAAACCTCTTGTGGCCAAATCCTGGGGTTCATTTCACTTAGTATCATATTAAATGTTTATATGTACATAGCTTTTGAGCTTTTCTGCTTATATGATAAAATTATCCTAGATGTATACTAATCATTGCAAACAAGGGAAACCATGAGACTTATATTTCCTTGGGTCTGGCTTACTTCACTTAATATAATTTTTTCCAAGTCTTTCAGTTTCCTAAAAAAATAGGACAATGTCATTCTTTCTGATGGAGGCATAGAATTCCATTGTGTATATATATCACATTTTCTTGATCCATTCATCGACTGAAGGACATCTGGTTGGATTGCATTAAACTGCAGAGCATCTGCATAGCAAAAGAAAAAGCCAGTAAGATCAATAGAAAGCCCATGGACTGGAAGATCTTCACTAGCCATACAACAGACAAGGGTCTCATACCTAAAATATACTTAGAATTCAAAAATTTAAATCACCCAAAACAAATCCTCAAACAACTGCCCAATTAATAAGTGGGCTAAAGCCTTAAAGAGAAACTTTTCTGAAGAGGAAATAAGAATGGCCAATAGACACATGAAAAAATGCTCAACGTCTCTGGCCATCAAAGAAATTCAAATCAAAACAACATTGAGATACCACTTCACCCCAGTTAGAATGGCTATAATCAAGCGCTCTAATAACAACAGATGCTGGAGGGGATGTGGCCAGGAGGGAACCCTACTACATTGTTGGTGGGAGTGTAAACTTGTTCAACCACTTTGGAAAGCAGTATGGAGGTTCCTCAGAAGACTCCACATAGAGCTCCCCTATGACCCAGCAATTCCACTTCTGGGCATTTACCCAAACGATCACAAACAAAACCATACTAAAGCTACCAGCACAACTATGTTTATCACAGCATTATTCACCATAGTTAATACACTTTTTGTTTTGTTTCATTTTTGTCACTAGTGAGGCTTGAACTCTTAGCCTGGGTGCTGTCCCTCAGCTCTTCAGCTCAAGGCCAGCACTCCACCACTGGAGCCACAGTGCCACTTTCAGTTTCTGGTGGTTTTTGGAGATAAAAGTCTCTTGGACTTTTCTGCCTGGGCTGGCTTTGAACTCTGATCCTCAGATCTCAGCTTCCTGAGTAGCTAGGATAACAGGAGTGAGCCATGTCGCCCAGCTCTAATATTCTTGTTAATGAAGTCTAATGCCATCTTGCTCTTTTAGAACAAGGTATTGTTCTAAATAATTCTGAAAACAGTCTAGGTTTCTTTCTTAGAATTTCAAATCATCTCCCTCACGTCCATTTTCCTGGACATTATATGTTGAATTTCTCTTCAACTTGTTTCTAAGTAGGGAATTGTTTTGGCTGGTATTTGTAATCATACAGACAATGGGCTAATGTGAGTAATCAACTCCAATGTTTATTGGAAAACTAAAAAAATTCATGCTATTAAAAAGAGAGAGAGAATAAAGGGAAGGAAAGTGAAGGGAGGAAGAGAAAAGAAAGGAGAAAAGAAAATATCTTTTTAATCAAAATCAGGCAGCTTCAATACTTTGCTTTCAAAGATTTCTCAGGCCAACATTTTCTTCCCAGCCTTCACCACACAATCCTAAGATAGAAGTTTGACAATTCCACTTTGGCCTGATTTATTCCCAAAGTCCTGTATGCATCACATAGTGATATCAATCAATTTAGAGTAAAATAGCAGGCTATGAAAGAAAGGTGGGATGTTCCCACCGCAGCAATCAGTTATTATAGTAATGATTTTCCACACCAGAATTCTCCTTACTGTTTTCCCATTT